GTATGATGTGTTGCATACCTGTTTACCAACAATTCCTTTAAATTTTAATCATCGATTACTACACATGAATTAAAAAGCCATAATGGCCGACATCAGTGACAATGCGACAATAATTGAAAAAGAATGATGGCCGACAACAGCAACAATTAAAAAATAATTATGGCCGACACTACGTCATAGTATTGTTCACAAAAATAAATTTCGACCACTCGAAACAATGGTGATAACAGTTTCGAGCTCACAGTGACTGATAGGGGGGAAGAACTAGTATTATAATATAAAAGAAATTATGAGTGCTGTCAGCATATGGCAAAATAGTATTACGTAAATGAAAGTGACCTCGTGCAATCGAATTTTAGTAGACCACTTTTTTGAACGAAAATCAAGAGTTAAAAACTGAATCTACATGTATGCAAGTTCTTTTAAATATTTATGTGTTGTTGCAAAAAATCTAAATAGTGTTAGGAGTTTTAAAAATTTATCCCATAAATATTTACAAAAAAAATCGAAAACATAAAATTATCTCACAGTAATGAAAACAAATAAATACTCCTAGTATGTCTTCTGATCTTAATCTTATGCTGATCCTGGGTTTTCCTAAACACATTTGGCCTTTTTATTGATTTTTGCTTTCTTTTGAAGACTTTTGTAGCCTCATTATCGAATAAATCAGTTGATGTTTTTCCTTTTTAATTAATTTCAAGATCATTTGAGATTTTTTTGCATAAGTACGTACTATTATCCTAAAATTAGTCAGAAAATTTTGCTGTTAGAATTGGAAGTATTTAACAATTTTTACACAATACAGCATTAAATATTAGGAAATTAAAAGTATCTCAACCTAATGAAATATGTATTAATTTATTCATTCTACAACTTTATTTATTAAAATAAAAATTCTTATTACCATAAAGTCATTGGTTTTTACAAAAGGGTACGATTTGAATACAAAAAATTAAACAAAATTATTGGTATGTAAGGAGGGGTAAAAGTTGAGTAAGAATTATTATCAAAATAAGAGACGAAAAATTAAAAAAGGAATTTGCTAATTTTCCATATTTAGAAAGTCAGGTAATTCAGGATGGAAGAAGAGATGGAAGTATAAAATAAAGGATAGTGCAAGAAGAAGGAAGGAAGGTATATGTTTCGAGTACGGCTCTGTACATTAATATGAAATGAAATGTTATAGACAGAAAAGGTATTAGAAGCAGTTGGAATGCTTAAGAGCGCTATGAATGTCAATGAGAAAAAGGAGAGACAGGGTAATAGGGAACTTCTGTGGTTAGTTAAATAAAAATTAGAAACAGGAATAGGAGTAAAGAAAGGCAGAGATAAACCTAGTTAAGATTAGTTCCTGGATTATATTATAGGTATTACATTCTAATTTTAGGGAAATGCAAAAATTGACGCAAGATAGGATAATGAGTGAAGGTGCATATCTAATTAATCTTTGAACTGACTACCGTAAGACGATAATAAAGTCATTATGTATAAATTTCATTTGCAAAATTCTATTTGTTTCTCTTTTAAATTTGATTTGTCTGTATGTAATACAGTCATTTAAAAAAATGAACTTACAATTAATCATATAAAGATCATCATATTTTAATGTATTTTATGTATGTGCTAATTAGAATGGTATTTCCATCTATGGAAGATGTACTTGTATGTGAAATTGTTTTATACTCCTTTAATTAAATTGTAAAACCACGTCATACGTTCATTGTAATGTAAAAAGCATCTAAAAACTAAATGCTCGTTTTACTTCCTTGAAGTTTTTCTTACTCTACTTATGAAGTATGTACCTACTTATATTAATAATGTAACTTATACATATCGATAATAATGTATATGAATAGTTGTTCTTTTTATTCAGTGCATGTTCTAGTTTTACTATTTTCATTGTTCTGGCCTCTATTTCGTAACTACCAATGAAATGTGCCTAGTACATAATGGCACTATTTCAGGAATTATTACTTTTTCAGTGAACTTCTCAAGGCGTAGAGGAAATATAATGTCCATGAAAAAATGATGTTTTCTAAAGCTTACTGAAGAATAAATTTCACTTTTCAGTTAAATTTTATCAAAGAATTAAACATAAATATGTGCTGGTAATCTTTTTATCTGTTTTTATGAAAACTTTAAATTCAAAATAATATGTAAAAAAAAATTAAAATTTAGAACTAATGATTTCCGTTTGAGAAAAATCTTAAAATGCGTTTTTTACTTTAAAAGATGAAAAATATGATGAACAATGTGCAAAAATTTGTATAATTAGCCGGCTTTACGTCCAGATTGAAAATGAAAATAAATCCAATCAATTTTGGCATAATGTATGTATTTGAAACCTTTCTAGTTCAACTTCTCCAATAAAACTAATCATCCTCGACTTGATAGCAGCCGATGCGCAAAAGACATTTGAATCATTGCCCTGATTTTTTTAACAAAATTAAATTTTAAGAAATACAATTTCTACATGATCATTAACCTTATGTTTGGGTCAAGGTATGGCAATTAATTTTAAAGAAACGTAAACTGATTTC